AACCGTACAAGCGAGGTCTTGCTGCAGCCAGGGTCGCTGCAACCAGGTGCGCCATTGCGCTTAGGGCCATCCGGAAGCTGGGAAGGAATCCCCCGAGAGGGATCGAGCTGAAGATGGAGCTTGGTGGTGGAAGTGGTAACTGTGGTGCTGTGGCAAGGTGTGGTTAGGGGGAACGGCAATTGCGGCCGTGTTGAAACTGTCTTAAACACGGCGAGTTGGGCACTGTGCAATGTCATCATTGACCAGCTTCCCCAGATCGCCTCCCGCTTAGTCACTGGCCCCCAAAGCAGTAAAACTGCAGGAAATACCTTTTACACTTTCTGCCGGCTGCTCTCGGCATTCCGATCTGATCTTGCCGTTTGAAAAAACTAAGGCTGTCTGTCAAAGACCGAACTTTAATACATATACACGAACCACTAACAACAACTTCTGTACGGAAGTCAGGAGAGACACAGATACCTAGGCCAACTGTATAGGTATTCTAGCGCTCGTCTTTTCATTGTGTTGATGTGCGTTGATGTACGTCCCTGGATCAACGGTTGAATGGCTAAAGACAAGAACGAAGGAAGGGTGGCTGCTCAGGCAGACAATTACATTCGCAAAAGAAATATATCCTTCACACCCTCAATTGTCTTTGTCTACGATAGTGCGAAGTACGGAGTACGGTATCCCACCTAAGTAGGCAGGCCCGTCGATCACATTCAATCAAACGAGGCGTAATTCCAAGCCTTTTTTGACCTACGCCCTTGACTAATGCCTACCATGCCTTGTCCTCCTCTATGTACAAACCCCGGAAACCGGGAACCGACCACAGTAGACCCCAAGAACCCGAAAACCTCCAGAGATGCCACGCATCGTCTCCAACCTGACTAATCTGATCCCATTGACCCAATCACCTCCGCACCGAGGCTCTTCAGACCAATCGACTCCAAATGACGTGATTGCTCTCTCACAAGCATAGGCCCATATTCAGTGCTTTGAATGGCTTCATTTATCATCATGCTTTGAAATACAGCATCCAAGTGTTACAGTATATAAAGAAAGAAAAGGTTGCTGCTAGGAGAAGGAAATATTCCAAGATATCACTGATCCCACTAACATCATCTCATCGCCACGCTCATCAACGGCTCAACGTGAAATACAAAGATCAAAATTCATTTACAACCTTCAGCATAAAGCTCTGGATATCATCGTGCACCACAAACCCAGACCTCATCTCCCAATGGCAATCGACAGAGTCCCCCGCGGCCAAGTCCGCGCAACCCTAAACTTCTTCGCCGCGCCCGCCGACAACGCGTCCCCCTACAACCTCATCAACCCGGACGGTCCCCCCTCCAGAAACTACGGCGACGCTCCCACAGAAACCGTCCTCAACGACATCCGTGGCCGCGAATCGGAATTCTCCCTGGACCGCGACGCCTTCGCCGTGATCCGCAACCTCCCGCCCTCCGCAGAGAAAGACTTCACAGACGACGAATCCGTCAAGGAAAACTACTACCCGGAACTCGAGAAGCTCCTCCTGGAACACGTCCCGGGAAGCACCCGCGTCCTCTTCTTCGACCACACCATCCGCCGCGCCGACCCCAAGGCCCCGCGGAACCCAGTCACCCGCGTCCACATAGACCAGACCCCGTCCTCCGTCATCCAGCGCGTGAAAAAGCACCTCCCCGAAGAAGAAGCAGACAAGCTCCTCGCGGGCCGGTACCGCATCATCAACGTCTGGCGCCCGCTCAACAAGACGCCCGTCGAGTCCTTTCCCCTGGGCTTCGCGTCCTCCTCGACGCTGGCCGATGAGGACATCGTACCCATCGAGCACCGGTATACCACGGGCTACACCGGTGAGACGGCGGGTATCAAGTTCAGCCCGGAGCAAAAGTGGTACTACCTGAGCGGCATGACGGGAGACGAGCGGCTGCTGCTCGAGTGCTTTGATAGCGAGGGTCTCCGGGACGGCACCGGTGTCGAGGGAGGTCGCGTGGCTCACACTGCTTTCGAAGATCCGAGGACGAGGGCTGATGCTGTAGGCCGTGAGAGCATCGAAGTACGGGCGCTGGTGTTTGGTCCTTAGAGATAAACTAATCTGGAGCTGATGTGAGTTGTACTTGATGAGTCAATGATAATATGAATATTTTCAACTATGAGCATCGGGGTATCAATGCCGTGCCACACCCCTATAAATATGGACGAGACTATTGTCTATCCGTTGTTGCACCACCCCTCTGCCACATCATACATGCCAACCTTTGCTGTGCTTCGATGTATTGTTCACTAGATGCACCCCTTCATCATGAAAAGAAAAAGAGAGAAAAGAGATGAAAGCTTGCTCAATGCTGTGGAGTTTGACCGCATTCAATGGAGTTGATGATTACCCCCAAAAGTCGTTCGAATACACTCCTACCAAATATCCTTTGCCTGGATCAAAACCATTTTGTTTCCCAAACGCCGAAACACCATTCAACTGCTCGTACGTCATCACTGGTTCTGGTTCTTACGACCCTTGCCGCGCGCACTTCCCTGTCGGCTCATCGCTGCGCCGCCGGTTGCACTGCTGGTACGGCTCATGGGGACGGCTGCAATGGCCGCGAGGGACGATGGGGGAGCCTCGTCTCTAATGCTGCTCTCGATTGGCATCAAATCCTCACGAAGTTTTGTTGGATCCGGACGAGGGCCTGGCTTGAATCCTGTGTACGGAGTCATGGTATAAGGCGTAATGGACGCTTCCAAGATCCTCCTGCTGCCATTGGGATGGTCGATGGAGTCGCCGGGCTTGTGGTTGTAGTCGTACTTCTTGAACATGTCCATGACCATTATGTCGGAATTGATCTCGTCGTGCGACAGCGGTTGCGGCAGGTTGCCGTCAGTATTACCTCTGACCGGCTTGAAGTAGTTGGTCACAGAGACCGACGGCAGTTTGGCAGGTTCGTGTGGCTGCATGATTTCGAGGTACTTGGGCAGTTCCAAGCCATTGGCTCCCTCGACGGCATCGATCAGGTTCTGATTGATGCCGGCCCTCGTGCTTCTAGTGGCATGGGAGCTGGTGCGTTCCATCGTCGGAGCGGACAGGGCCTCGCTGTCGTGTTCACCGTTTTCATCGCCGTTGCCAGAGTCGCTGCCTGGGGACGAGCCCCCGTTCGCATAGGGCTTGTGTCTAAGGATATGCTTGTGGGAAGCAACGGCTGCGGCGTTGTAGGCCATGCTGAGTTCCTTCTCAGTAAAGAGCTTATCAATGCTGTAGGCTGGGCCATTTTGTTTCGCGGCGACTCGAAGCTTCTCGTTCTGCCAGAGAGGTGTTGTGTTGTTGGGGTCGAGCGCTCGTCGGGACGGAACGGGGGAGCCGTCGTCTTCGCCGGGGTGCCTCTTGCGCTTCTTGCTGTCAGCATAGCTGGCAAGCTCTTCGGCGTCCTTGCGTAATCTCGTCGCGCGTTTTCCGTGAGTGCCACCGGGGCTTGCCGGGTTGGTGATGCTGAACTGGTTGGGGTGGAGCAGCAGCGCAGAGGAATCTGAGATCTCCAAGGCTTCCTTCTCCTTGTTCAGGCGATACTTCCTTGACAGCAGGGTATTAACGAGTCTATCGCGGAGTGTTGAAGAAAGGGCTTGATGCTCGCGCTTAGCAGTTTCGACCTTGTAGAGGTATTCGTTCTTGTATTGGTGGAGGCGACGCTCATGCTCGTGCTGTTGTGTGCATTCATTAGCTTCGCCGACGTGAGGACAGGGAAAAGTCGGCCACACTTACCATGTGCTGAAGCAAATGAAAGTCTCTGTATTCAACAAGATCCTCAATGCCTTGGACAAAGTCCTCAAAGTTAGGGCCCGCCATCTGGAGCAGAGTGCGGTTGCTGTCGGAAAGCGCCTCTTGTCCTTGCGTCTCTTCATGTTCCTGTCGCAGACTGGCAATGATGTTCAGGACATCGTCGGCGTAGGGGTCGATGCGCTGTACGAGGTTGGTGTCAACCTGGACCTTCTGAAGCTGATCGCGGTACCCAAGGTCACGATCCCGACTGAATTTCTCTTGCAGGTTGGCGATCTTGTCGACAAGTGCCTGGCGCTTGCGGTCGCGCTTCGATTGGGGCGCCGGAGAGGCTCGGCCGGCCTTTGGTTGAGCGGAAGCACCCCCCAAATTGGGGATGGCTGCTTCGTTGGCTGCCATTATAGTGATGATGGATAGCTTCGTGTATTGGCCGTTTGGAAATATAATCAATTCGTTTGTTCAAGGGGAGTAGCGTTGTTGTACCTGGAGAGGATGGTACGGTCTGGATGTGTGTAGGGCGACCGTCGCAAACCGGAGCTCAAGCAAGACGAAGTTCGCTGGAAGAGGAGTTTGAAGGAAAAGGATTCGGGAGTCGATTCGACAGAGAAGGTGCCTCTAATTCACGACTCTCGAATATGGAGGATATCATTCAGCCGCCCATTCGAGGTGGTAGCTCTTGCTGGGGTGTTTGTGTGGGAGAACGTAGATTCGGAGGAAGGTGAGGGTACTGCGGAACGAGATGGTCCTGTGCTTGCCTTGTCAGCCTTTCCGCTAAGTGACCGCATGCGCCTCCAAGTTCTGTACCTGACCGCTGGAGGGGTGAATTTTTCTTATTGGACGGGGTTGCCCGATGACTTCCGCAGGGGCCAGGGCACTTAGTGTGTGGAAGGGATGAAAAAACAAGCAGAGGTGGCCTGCCAGCTGCAATTCAGCGCATGCCGATTTTAGGCCGAACCCCCTAAGACTTCCAGCTCGCAAGGTACAACCTCCACCCAAAAGACTGATGAGACGAACACTCTTAGATATAAGGTATACCTAACCAGGGAAGACTTCGATTTCAACGGATGTAAGATAAATCGAGATAGGACAAAATAAAAGATTGAATCTCTCATTCTGTATTGTATTCCACCATCTTCACCTTCATGAGGTTATAGGTCATGAGCTCTCACTATCACCTAGAAGCTCAGGATCCAGTGCTTTACCGCTAGCATGCAAAGCTCCATGAGATGCCCGGCCTCATCGATCATAATATTTACAACCCGTTTCTAAGTTTCTGAAGCTGGCTCATCAAGCCGTAACCCCCGAGATACGTCTTGGTCTCCGCGGCATCAGCATGAACACTCCCCTTCCTCGCCCGCCCCTCATTCCCATCCCTCCTGCTCGCTTGATCAACCTCCCTCATGAGATCCCGATGCCGGTCCTCCACCATCTTGGCCAGGCTCTCAATGAACTTTGTCCTGCCCTTCTCCTCCGCCGTGCCCTTCCAGACCTTGTTAAGCTCCTTGAGCTCCTCGATCCGCTGCGCCGCCTTCTCGATGCCCTTGACAGGGTCCTCCGACTTGGTCAGCAGCTGCGAGATCTCATCCCGCAGACCCTGCAACACCTGCTGGCCCTTCTCCTCCGTGCTGTGCTGCTCCGCTCCCGGGTCGGGCGCCGAGACCGAGAGGAAGGACGAGCTGACCGAGAGCTCCGACGGCGGGAAGACGAATTCCATGGCGTCTCCAAAGGTCTTGATGACGGTGTCGAGGCGGGAGCGGACCACCGTCAGCGTCCGCAGCTGGTTGATGTAGGGTGGTTCTGAGGTTTCCGCCTTGCCCTCCGTGGCCGTAGCTTCGTCGTCGCCGGCCTTGCTGGCGCCCACGGATTCTCTCCTTTCTTGCCCGTCCGCGGCCTTCGGTACCGTTCCCTTGGCCTCCTGATCCACACCACTCGGCGCGAACTTCTTGATGTCCTCCTGCAGCGTCTCATTCATCGTCTCAGCAAGACTCAGGGTCTCACCTCGGAGGAGCTCGACTTCGTAGGCGAGCCGGCTGCCGCTCCGGAGGATGTCATCCGTCAACTGGGTCAACGTGCCGGAAAGCCTCGTCGTGTGGATGTTGAGCTGGGACAGCAGCGTTTGCGCCTCGTTGGACAAGTCGGCCAGCGGGACGGCCTGACCGTTGCCATTGCTTCGTGATGAGTGGTAGCCACCATGTTGAAGCGGTGGCAGAGTAGCATTCAGATATGCCGCTGGGTCAAAAGAAGGATCCAGGAAGCTCTGCAGGAAATCGTCTGCTACATGGCTTGATTTGGGTTGGATTGTTGCTTCCAACTGTTCGCGAGTGTGAATAGGTAGCGTTTTGGTGGCGCCAGCATTGCTGCTCTGTCGGCGATGTAACGCCGATTTAGAATCCCACGACATGTTTCCTGTGGGCGTTCGATGCCGGAAATTAAAGAGATGGAATATCGGGCGTGTTGTCCCGAATTGTTGACTCGCTGAGGACAAGTCTCATCCGAATGGATGAATCCATGCACCGAGTTTGGTGGTGAGAGGTTGGGCGGGTAGCTAGCCCCACTTTCACCCGCTGCTGCTCTCCCTTGCCCGAGAATCGGTACCTTCAACGTCTGGCTCCGATTTATTTCACGTCTCAAGGAATAACTCATCGAGTAAACAAGATCATGCCACGAAATGTCATGCTACAGTCCATTCTTCTTTTCTTTCGTTTATTCGATTGCATTGCAGAAGTAGACCTCTAATATGTCCACTATTGGGTATCTTTTGGCCATAGGAGCTCCCGTTTGTACAAACACCGAATCATCGTAACAAATACAATAAACCATATGACTATCAGACACGCTGCGAAGACGCAGCCAAATATCTGCAATCCGTTATTCTGCAAAGCCTTGCCAAGCGCAGTCGTGGCCGTAACAAGTGCAGTGTTCGGGAAGACAAATGACCACCATGTCATTTGGAAAGGCATCTTGCTCTCTGGCCGCACATACTTCCAAAGTGATCCTACGGAGACGATAAAAAACCACATGCTCAGACCCCAGAGCCATAGCCCGATCAAGACTGACATGACTTTGATGATGGGCACGGCAAGGTCGGTGCCCAGGAAATTGCTGGGCAGAATTTTGTCTGCGGAATTGCCGAGTTGAACTGGAGCATTTAGTCGGGCATCCAACCGTAGCAATAAGGGAAACCCTACCTAAGCCTCCGACCGTGAAGGCAAATGGCCCAATAGAAATGAACTGATTTGGTCAGCGTCACTGGTTAACATTTGTACCAGGAACAATTACGCACCACACCAGGACGTTGAAAATCCCGCGGTAATTTCTGCGTCATCAGCCGATAGATAAAGGCAGCAGAGATCATAAAGGCAATCAAGCAGCCCGCGCCTTGAGTAGCGACTGCACAGAGAGCAATGGCAGTCCTATTGAGAGTGACGACCTGCTGGTTCGTTTGTACAGCAGCTTGTATGAGGTTGCTCGCAAAAGGTGCCGTGAGGAGCAAAGGGTAGGCTGGGAAGACCCAGGTAGGAGTCATGGTATGAATGGGAAATATCCTGATAAACGTTAAGCAGACCGAAACTACTCGCGTAGACTGAGAGGAAGCTCACAATGTCGACCAAAGAATCAGGTAAATAGTGGCACTAGCAAGCACACTTAAGGCTATGTAGAACCAGAACAGAATTTGCATGATTCTAAGGAGCCAGGGCCCTACATGCGGCACACCGAACTGGCATATGTTGATCGATATGATGGCGAAACTGTAGATATTTAGCTAATGCCCCAGCGGAATCGGTTAGGTGGCTTACGAGACAACAGCAGAAGGAATGAAGAGCGATTCCGTCTGGTCTGTGAATGAATGGGTGAGGGCCCCTGGTCTGGATTTGAATCGAATACTGGCGAGGGCACAGTTTATGATGAAGAGCATAACATTGAGCAGGAAAAATGCTACGGCTATGCCGTTGAGCCAGGCAGCTTGGTAGGGGACTGTTCCAAGTTAGCATATGCGCCAAAAGGTAGTACTCGGTTTACGGACGAGAGTGTATCACATTCGCCATTCCTCCGGTTGCCTACGTTAAATCAGTATCTTCTGAATATGGTTTGTCACGTACTGCCTACCATCGTCTACTAATCATTAGCATCGGCCTTGTTCAGGGAAGCGGGTATATTACCATAGTGAACCAAGTCCAGGTATGACAGGCGATCCGATCTCGAATTCCTACTTTGCCCAAGCTAAAATGCTTCTCCAGCGTAGGTTTGGCGTTGTTTGGACTAGACTCATTCGACTCTGCCTGCCGCTCGGCCGCAGGCATCGCCGTGCTATCCTCCGTTTCAAAGGCTGGTCCATGAGAGGAGCGAGGAACAAAGGGGGGCCGTCTCAAAGGAGATCTAGGTAAGGGCAATGATGCCAAAGGAGATTCGTTCGGAGTAGCAAAGTACGAGGGACGATTGCTGTGTTCATCCGGGGTCTGGTAGCCGCAGTTGGCTACCATTTCATGGGTGGGGGCCATTTTGCGGTGGGAGAATCCCAATCTTCAGGTCCTCGAGCCAGTAGCTTCGACACAACGTAAAGAGGAAAGAGTAGGCTGGGTTCAGCATTGGAGAGAGCGATGTTCATGTAGACAAGGTTGGTGATGAAAACAACGTGGTCGAGAAACAGAGAGCCGAGATCGAAAAGAGGCATGCTCAAAAGCGGGCGGGCGTCCTTGAACGCAGTTCCGCGCAGTGCGGGTTGAGTGAAGGTGTGTCGTTGGGAGAGGCGTGAGGGGAGAATTAGCCCCGGGCGTGGACGAGACGTGTGGGTGGATATAGTCAGATGCCGTCCTGGTTGTGTCGTGGTGCAGGGCCACAAACGCAGATCCTAGCTCCTTTCTTGCGCCAGGGTGAACAACGAGTCGTCGTGTGGGCTGCAGCCAAGGCAGTCTGTGGTGGTGTCGTTAAGTTTTTTTTTCTCCCTGGGCTTGTTCCGTCGTGAACAGACGGAGTTGTTATGGTGTTTGTGGTGGCAGTCGCGTGGAAGATGTACACCGACAATGACGCGCTCAACAGTTGGAATCACGATGGGCTGGAAGCTGGCCGGGATTCGTTATTCGCAATGAGATTTTACAGTCAATGCTAGGAGTGACTTCTCTTGGTGTTACGGGAGATGACCCGGCTTGGTGAGTAAGGCAAATCCTAGTGAGAGGTTGTGAAGTGTAAAGTGGTGCCTGCGTCATACAGAGAGTTGGCGGTAGCAACGACGTGCTAGAACTTGCCCAGAGAACCGGATATGACCCTGCCGCGGATGACACAGCACGACCGGGGTCTCAGCACATCATGTGGGGTCAACCAACACCTGGAAGCTGTCACTGTCTTATCACAAATGCAGCAGAGATGCAGAGTCGTAACTAAGCAGTCGTCAAACTTTTCTTTCCTCCTGATTTCCCTTTGCGTTCAGCTCGCTCAAGAGTAGCAAAGTGGACAACAAAACATAAGCCGGCCTGGAAAGTAGTCGCCGCCAGCAGCTGGCTATCTTGATAAAACTTGAAGAGCTCGTTGCTCTGCATTTATTTCCCCAGCGCAACGCTCTTTTCATCACTCGTAGGGGTCGGTAGCTTATCGTCGACAACGCTGATAGGATGCGCGTTACCGGCCAGCGACAACGCTAGACATGTGGGGGACAACGGTTCGGATCTCGACCTCTTCCAAAGTTGCGTCCTTCAACATCCGACCGGACCGGTATTTCCGGCCAAACATCTAGCCCAAGACTTTGACTACACCCACTCACCTGGGCTATCACACTATCCGGACTTCAACTCAGATTCGAGGACGGCAATACCTCCGTTTCCTTCGCTGCTATAGATTCGTACATGCACGCCGTACCCGCAGTGCAGCAATAATGACGCCTGAATTGTGGGTTCATCTGCCCCCAAGGAAGTAAGTAGGTAGTCAATTAGTGTCATGGTTGCCATGTGAAATGTGATGGGTCGGTCGTCCTCACAGGTATCGCTCTGAAGTTTTCTGCCGGCGGGTACGTTGTTGCTTCCCAAGTGAGATGAACAATCTTTCCTTCCAAATGGACCTAAGGTGGTACCTCAAGGTACCTTGTACCTGAGCATCTGAGATTTCAACGACACTCGTTGCTCTCCATTGAATGCATTTCCCAAAACTACCGAAACGAAGTGTTCCTCTATGACGATGAGGTACCATTTTCCCCCAAATCATGACCACCATTGCTCTATCGCTTGACCCAGTTGTTCTGTCTGACCCCAACACTGGAACTGTCCTTGACATCGCAAGTACAGTTTCCTTCCGCTCGTCAACAGACCGAAAACTATTTTCAACTATCAACGAGCTGCTCGCTGGGATTCAAGCAGGAGATTTATTTATACTCAAGGCTCAGACTTGCTGTTTCCTAGTCTCGCTCACCCGGGAGGAAAGCAATGCAGAAGACCAAGCGGTGTTCATGGACACCATTGCCGCTGACATAACAAGCTATCCGGCAAGCAGCATTATTGATGAGATGATATCTGGCACTTGCTAATCGGTTACAGATCTGGGCCCAGCTAGGAATCGATATAGTGCGCAATGTGGAGAGTCCTTCCAGCCATCGGCATATATCGTTCAAGATTGAGCATAAAGAAGCTGTCTTACACCCAACTCTACCTCCCAACACAACGGTCATTACTATGCAGCATCTGACCTGCTCCTTCTATATTCATCAGGAATCATCCATCTCCGAAGGTCCTATGGAATCAGCCTATCAAAGGACGTCATCGATGACTAGCAGTCATGGCTCTCGCCTTGATTCAGAAAGTGGCTTTGGTTTGGGCGTCTCGTCTGTGGAATAGGGTTCACCCGACGAAATCGACGATCGTTTCAACAGCCAAGACTCAGGCGTATGTCTTCTACCTTGCGATGCTGCCGCTGCATGCGACAAACAAAGGCCTCAAGATGGAGAGGTTACTTCTCCCATAGGTCGGCTTGTAGAAGCTGGTCTCGACACGTTGGTTGTCGGTCGCAGGGCTGTGGGCGGTATCAGAACACTGAGCACGACGAGAACACCAATTATATGCCTCGTGCCCGAGATTTTCAACATGAACTATCTTTCGGTGGGTTGTCCGTCTGACCATTCTTGATACCGACGCGAGAACTAACCGAGACAAAGTCCTTGACTTGTCGGTCTCGCCTCCTACCAGCGTTGTCCTCTGTGTTTCAGGACCTTAATCACATTGAGTCTCGTCAACTACGAGATTATGCATCCGCATCTCATGGCATCCCCACAGGCAGTCTTCAAAGCACAGCTCAGAATCATGAATCCAATGACTTTGGACACCTAATTTGGAGGCTTATACGTGCGCAGATACCCGCTTGCGAAGAGACTAAATTCTCACAGCAACAATTCCGAGGATTGACGCGTCCGGAGGAATACTCAAGATTACCGGCCATTGATGCCATGATTGCGTACGGAACTATGTCAGAGGATGAAGCTTCACTCCATGAAGAAACCAGCCTTGCGACTAATGATGGATGTGAAGTGAATCAGGGTCGCGATATCCTAGAGACGTTGTCAGACATCGATATGGAGTTTGACCAGAATACGTCGCCTTCATGGACCGTTGACGAGAATCCGCTATTGCCTTCTTCACCCCTGACTATGAACTTACTCATGGACCGGAGCGAGCTCAGACACGAGCATGAAGCATTCGACGATGAGGATGGCTACCCAGAAGATATTTCGGACTACGAAACCCATCTAGAAGCTTATAGCTCACCACTCTCACCACGACCCTCCTCGTACTTTGTAAGAACTTCCGAACCAAACAGCGAGGCCGACTCAGAGGCGCATACGCCGAATCAAGCTTTCAACTTGGCAGATACATCACTGCCACCTCTTATTTCATTGCGAGAACTGGTCGCGGTCGGTCCTGCAAGTTACAGTGATCGGTCGAACTTCGGCCCTGATAACGGCGAGAACGACTTCGGAGAAGGCCACCATGCTAATGACCCCCAAAGGCAACGATCGATTTCTCTCGTATCATACTACGATTGGCAAAGTGACGAGGACGAGGTCAAGGGGCCGCTCTCGGAGCTGTCGTTCCAACCAACCAGGCATGACCGCCAAGCGGATGATGATGATGATGGGATCTGGCCAAGCGAAGTCTTCTCCGGAAGCGAAATTGACCTTTACGATGATCAAATCGAGTAGATCAACCGTCGAAAACCTACTGGCAGCCTGGGGGCTGACATTTCGCCAATGTCCACACTGGGGTCAGGGAACGGAGTTTCAAGAGATATATTGCAAGAAATGGATGTCGAACGCAGCCTGTGACATTCGAGCATCACAAACTGTGGTATCTGCCGCTCAAGCGCGACCATAAAACCGACTCATTTCTGAAGCCTTAATACAATTCATTATCCAACCTCTCGCCCCATAGTTGCAGCTGAGAAGAGCTCGCCACCGCGATGTTTCCTCTAGTGCCTGGGCATGCATTGTGTCTCCCTCAGCGACGTAATGGCGTTGATGATCTACCACTTTATACAGGTCCCAGCGCCTGTCTTCGCAACGAATCTTCCGAAAAAATGCGTGCCTTTCAGGCCGCAATCCCTCTCATTTCTTTCCTCCCTTGCCTCCCTTCTTCGGCTCCTTCTTCTTCTTCTGTTCGGGCTTCAATGTCGCAAAGTGGATGTACCAGAGAAGCACTCCCTGGAGGATGACGGCGACGAGAACGATCAGGAGGATAGTGAAGAGAATGGGCTGGTCATTCAGAACCGCGACAGCCTCAGGCGTCGCGCCAATAGATCGGAACCAGTCGAATTGACCCATTGTTGCGGTCTCGAATCTTTCGGGGCTGATCGATGTTCGGGTGCGGTGCAAGCGCGATAGCTCACAGAATCGTGCTGGCTTACGCCTTGCTGCTCTTTGATTTTCGGCGGCTGATTGAAGAGGTGCGAAGTCTGCTCAGGCACCTGTGATGGGCGGTATGGACTGTGGTGGTTGGAATTAAAGGTGTGTACAGGAAAGTCAAAAATGAAGGTCTGAGTCTCAAGTGCGCCAGTCACAAGGGAACAACAAAAAAATGTACGTATTGTTGGGGGACCGGATTAGAAGGTTTTTGTTCGACAGCAGGAAACACGAGATGCGAAAAGCAGTCCAGAAGGAGAAAGGAAAAGAATAGGAGGGTTAGTAGGGGCCAAGATGTAGGGAAAATGATCCGCTCGGCTTCTCGAAACGGGAGACGTCACAATTGGGTGCGCTTCAAGGGCGAGGAGGAGGCCCTACGGTGGCCATGCCACCACCGTGGTGTGCCTTTTCGCAGGCTAGACCGCCTTGGGGGTATGAGACCAGGACGCGACATGGCCGCATCGTGGTGGTTGAATGTGTGAGGAAGGTCGCTGCCAGGGGAGGGGCGGCATCGATGCGCGTTTCAGGCCTGCGGCAGAAAGTCGACTGATGTCTGCTGCGGGTGATTGGCTGTGCAGGGACGAGCTGCAGCGGTTACTTCGGCACTAAAAAGGGGACCTGGGCTTCTTCACGGGAAAGACGTTCTGTTACAGGCAATAATTATTACACATCGGATTAGCCATGTGGTTGTTGAGCTGACAACGACATCAAATGAGTTCTTTGCGCTCTTTCCGGTCGGGAAAGCTTAGTCTTGGCTTCGCGATACCTTCGAAATGATACTCACCAATATCACATAGTACTCCAGTCCAAATGCTTTGCGATATAAGCTTGCCAGAGGTCGGCCGGTCGCTAACGATGAAGACGGGAGTCAGAACGAGACCGTGCACTCCAGAATTAAGTAAGCTAGGTAGCCCCTGAACTTCAGCAAAGTCTCGGTGAGCTGCGAGCTTTCGGTATGGCACCAATTACAAGTCGTCCACTCCATCAAGGTCATGTGACTCGAGGAACATCTCCGCGCCGTCATGCCCGTGATTGCACGGGCCACGGGCGGGAGAAGACCGGGCTTATTGACCAATGATATGGTCTGGATCCGTCCAAGGCAATCGACTGCGAGACGATCCAATTGAGCTTTCCAAAAAAATTGTCGACTAGCTGGCGCGACCCTGAGCTCAAGACCAAAAGAGCCCATCACGCGACTTGCACCCACTCCCCGACGACCTCATTCTACCCCTTTGCTGCCGGCAACGAACTGGCGCAGAGACGTCGCCTCTCTCTGCTGCGATGAACTCGGTACGCCCGGCGCGGAGCGTCTTGTCGAGATGCGTCTCTTCCGCCTCGAGCGCACCGGCCGCCCTTCCCTACCGTCTATTCCACAGCTCCGTTGGCAGGTCAGGTCGGAGGCGGTCACGATTTAACAATATCACCGCCGAGAAGATGGGTCTGACAACCCCTGATGCCATCGAAAAGTATGCGAAACAACACTTCCCCGAGTACACGGAACAGCAAAAGGAGTTTCTGAAGGAGAAGTACACCCCCGAGCAGTGGGAAGCTCTCCAGGCCGCCGAGGAGGCCATTGACCCGAAAGATTTGGCGATCCAGGGTCGGTTACGGACGGATCCTTACACGCAGCCCTATATCGACGACTTCTCAACGGTCCAGCCCATCATCGATGCGAAACCCCAAGCGCCCGCGAAGCCCGTGGAGCCGAAATGGCTCCCGAGGAGAATGTGGATCGACGACTACATTGAGAAGATGGCCGACAGGGTCGGCGGCCAGATGCAGGACACCATGGGCAAGGCGTTTGCCCGGGCGCTGCGCAACATCTCAAAGACGAACCCCGCGAAGCTCGACTTCACCGAGGAGGAGCTGCACGAGCTCGAGACCAACCCCGAGTTGCGCCGCAAATTCCTTGTCGACAACGAGGCCGACGTGCTTGGGGCGAAGAAGGAGAAGAAGGCCGGGGCGGCGTCTATCGCAACCGACGACTGGCTGAAGCAGTTTGACCAGGAATTCTTCAACGAGCTGGAGGGCTCCCTGAGCACCTCGGAGAACCCTCTTCGCTCCCGCGTAGCCTTGTGGAAGGAAGCCGACGGCAAGGGCACTTCGGCGCTCGCCCCTGAGCTCGGCAAGGTCGAGGGTGTCAAGGGACTCTACCAACCTCCGGAAGACGTCGAGGACGACGGCCTCGACCCCACGGGTCGCTTCATCAAGCTCAAGCAGGCCACCGGCATGAAGATTAGCGATATCCTCTCCATTCTCACCAAGAGAGTCGTCGTTCGATCCGTTTCTAACCAGACTCGTCTGGGCAAGATCCGCAGTGCTTCCGTCATCGTCGTAGCCGGTAACGGAGACGGCAGACTGGGGTTGGGAGAGGCTAAGTCGACGGACCCCGGTATTGCAACAGCGACGGCCACGCTTCTGGCTATCCGCAACATGAAGCCTATCCGCAGATACGAAAACCGCACCATCTACGGCAACGTCGAGACTAAGATCTCGGGAACTGTTGTGCAGCTCTTTGCCCGTCCCCCAGGTACGTTCTAATTCTGCCAGTTCCTCGTTCTCTGTTATTTGTTTGACACAGTTATACTAACACACAATCAGGCTTCGGACTCCGCGTCTCTCACAGGATATTCGAAATGGCCCGTCTCGCCGGTATCCACGATCTGGCGGCCAAGATCCCCCGCTCCAAGAACCCTTACAACACCGTCAACGCCGTCTACAAGGCCCTCATGAACCAACCTGATCCGGAGGAGATTGCCATTGGTCGCGGAAAGAAGATGGTCGATGTGAGAAAGGTCTACTACGGCGGATCTGTGTATTAATCTGTATACCACTTCTGTATACCACTGTAAATGTTCAAACAAAAAGCGCAAATCTCTAGAGAACCCCGTCTGTGGCCCCCTTGCCCCCTTGCCCCCGTGAACAGTGAACGCAAATCTTCATGTCATAAAGTGATTGGCGTCGTGTATTTCTTGGGGGGGTATCTGCTCTGATCGTAGTCTCGTCGTGCATTTGTACACTCTCTCCAACTTCCTCTCGCGGTATAATCCGGACAAAACCGCCGCGGATTGCAGCATGCCTCCTCTCAATATAGATGTTGCACCCTCGTGATCCCACGTATTCGTCTTCCTCTACTCCTCCTCCTCCTCCTGGCTCCTGGCTTGGTCACCCCAATCGATCTCCTGCTGCAGCACTATGCTGTACACGCTTGCCTTGAGGAGCGTAAACACCAAGCTCGTCTTGCGCTCCAGCTCCCGCAGGCCGTCGAGGATTTCGGTGCTCGGCGAGCCGCTCAGGTCTTCGAGTGTTGAAGCAAGCTACGGTACAAAAAAAGGGGGACAGGTTAGCTTTGCAGGTCTTTGGGATCGGGTAGAGGGGAGAAGGGGGGAAGGGGGAAAGGTCCGAGTCTGAATGCAATGTAGGAAAGCTGTGTGACGGGACGAACCTTCTTCATGTTATCCGCCAACTTTTCGTACTCTTCCAGCACCTCGGCCTCCAACGGCGACAACTCCGGCTGCGAATGCAGCAGCGTGGAGTCCCGCCCCTGCTCCATTGTGATGATCCAGCCGTCTCTTGTTTGCTCTGTTTCGTACTATATACCAAAGTCAAGTTTGGTCGGCGCTAACGTGGTACAGCGACGTTTCGTTAGGTTCTGGTCAATTATCGACGGGAAGTTGTTTCGGTGAGTCGCGGTGGGACGCGTTGTGGCTTGAACCCCGCCAATCTAACCTTGGGCGAGGTGCCCAGGAACCTACCTACCCCGAAAAAAAGCATCAGTCCCCCTTGTCGGTGAGGTGAAGTGTGTCTTCGGTGAGCGCCTTACCTAATGGGGAGGGACTTGTAAGCGGCTCGTGCGCCTTCACCCACCCACACCAAAGATGCGCGCGGACTTCCCGTCATCTTCCAACAGCGTCCGTCCACACCTCCATCTTTCAAGATAGTTTGGAGCGGTAAAGGAGGTCATCGTTAGAGCGTCTTACATGACGTCTAAGTATGCCCCTTCAGATGTCTTTCTTTTCAGGGTAGAAGGTTGGGTAAGAGCCTGTACGCGAGGCACTGAATCATAGCATCCAAGCCGTCTGTTACCTTCATCGAAAGGTTGTCTATGAGCTGGCAATGAGAGATGACTTTAAATTACCACCATCGCCGCCGACCTCTATGAACATACAACCAACACAGATTTTCTCTGACTTTGGGAATTCTGAAGCGCATTTATTATAGGCGCCAATCTAGCAAGCGTGCCGTGTGCCGAACCTGATCATGAGTGTGTTCCGAAACCACACATTGTTCGTATCCTTCGAGTAAAAGGGATGGCTTGACGTGGCAAGCCTACTACTCATCGACATCTGCCCCGGATGGTTTCAGGACTAAACTAGAGCACGCGAATCTCATCCCCGTCATTTCGCGACAGTCAGCCACCGAGCTGTCATGGCCGGCCGACACCACCAAAACCACATCTCACTTTGGGCCCAAAGTCGGACTAAGATGGGACTAGAGCACAGGTGAGAGAGCTTAGGGGGGTGGGAAAGCTCTAAATCCAGATGCTCTAGCTCAGGTCACTTGATGAGCCAACAATGGCACCAAGCTGCCAGCCATGGCTTCAATCTCACTTTTATTATAACTCGAGGGTGATCTTTCTTTTCTGGCGTCGTTCGAGATGGTTCTCGTTGAAAAAAAGAGGAGATTTTCATAACATAGCACCCAGCCAGCAACGCGAAACGGTCAAAAAAGTGGCTTACATCAAATCAAAACTGAATAGGGAGCAATGGCCGGATCAAAGACATTCGAGCAGTCGCCGCCTCTCACGGCCAGCGACTCGGCCGAACTCCATACAAAACGCTCCAACACGCCCGCGCTCCTCGTCCGGCGATCATCCTTGATGAGCAAGTTCCCCGAGTCGAGCTCCTCCGCCTACGTCCTCGACTGGGAGACGGACAAGTGCAAGCAGCGCCTCCTCAACCACGCCGAAGACCTCTTGAGGGAAGCCGTGGGCCGGAGGCGGCTCACCATCGTCCAGGGCCTGCCGCTGGATCTGGTTCAGGTGTTGCGGGATTCCCTCGGCGTGAACTCTGGGTTTCTCGAAGCACATGCGGGGAGGCGGCGGCATCGACCGTCGAGGAACGACGAGGGCTCAAGTTTTGTTTCGTTTGCGTATCCGGAGCTGGTCAAGACTACGAGGGGGAACTATGGCCCGGATCCTGGGTATAAGCCGTCGGCAAGGCAATCTGATTTAGTGGATGTCATGGACGAGGCGCCCTTTCATATGATGTCGAGGGATGGGCAGGCAGTCATGTTCTGCCAGGCTTCGTTATGGATGAACAGCAAAGCTGATGGTAAGTTCTCAACGGGTCCTAATGGATACATTCCACGTACTGACTCGCGCCTTCAGTCCTCTTCCTAGACCGCCCCATCTGGAACGATCCATCTTCACAGGTCCAAAAGGCGCGGAGACCACTCTCCGTCACCCGCTCATGGCAAAGCAAAATAGACGAGTCCCAAATGGATGGCACCTCAGTCTGGAACGTCCTCATAGCCGAAGGCGACGAGCTCCCAGGCCTCGAAGACAGCCTTCTCCGCACCTTTCGTCACTCCAATGTCACGAGGCAAACCCTTCCCGAGATCCTCTGCGAGGCGGTCCACGATAAGTGGCTCGACTTCTTCGAGACCCTCCCCTCATGCGCCCAGCCTGGATCCCTGCAGGACGGGGGGCTCTACTGGCAGGCGACAGAGTCTCTCGAGCAGAACCTCGAGCTTGCGCAGGACCAAGCGCGCCAGCCGCTCCTGGGCGGCGGCGGTGGCATGCGGCACCCAGACTGGCGGTCCCTCCTTGAGCGTCTCCAGCGCCGCGTCGCCATCTCGAAGCTCGGTTCGACGCCGAGGCCGCAGACCGCGTGGCCCCGGACGCAGCCGACGACGGCGGTCCTTCAGACGCGGGATGTCAACATGCCCATGCAAGGCACCAATAACCAGCCGTACCCAGACGCCATGGCCGCAGACAGCGGCAAAGAAGCGAATCAGCGCGCCCTCGACCGCGTAACGTACCTCGGAGGCATCCTCCTTCCCTTCACGGTAGTCTCCGCCATCCTCTCCATGAACGACGAGTACTCTCCCAACGCGCCGCGGTTCTGGGTCTTTTGGGTCGCCTCCATCGGCGCTGCCATCCTGTGCCTCCTCATCATCTACCTAGACCAGCTGCGCTGCCTCGAGGTGTATTTCGAAGTAGCCGCCGCGGGGACGGTCGAGTCTTTCTTCCCCTCCAGCAAAACCCACACCGCCGCCACCGCCACCAACGGGATATCTCTCATGTCGATGCCGCCGCAGTCGAGATGGCGCCGGCAGCAGGCGACGGAGATGTACATGGACATGGTGGAGCCCGGCGGCGGAGACGTCGAGGTCATGGCTGACTCGGCGGTGAACCCTACCATGGTCGTGCAGCAGGGCCGGGACGGCTCGAACACCAAGGCGTGGCGGAGGAGGCAGCTCGGTTGGGGCGGCGCGGTGAAGAAGGTTGTTGGGTATTATCGGTGGACGGGCGGCAAGCCGGTGCAGATTAGTCCGTACGGGTCGGAGAGGCTTCAGATGAAGACGATCTGACGTGTGTGGTGTAGTAGTTACGATAATGATAATCTTGGTCTGGTCAATGGAAAAGTCTACCTTGATTTGACTATACGATGGCATTTGGTTGCGTCCAATCTGACTGGTTCACTACCTTGACTACCTGAAGTGTCTAGAAAGGTCTATCCTTCGTTCTCTTTTGGTTCTCCGACCTGTTTCTCTCGTACTTTTTTGCCAATCATTAAGGAGGGCAGGCGATTGACGCCTGATAAGGCGCATGGCTAGAGAACAATGTAAGTCTGTGTATTTTACCAAATATCAACAGACGCCCGTATTTCGATACTACAAATACAGCTGCAGGGTCTCTCAAAGTCGTCTTTTCTATCCGGGGACAGATTAGCAACTATTGGCATCTTGATATCGAAAAAAGTGTATCAAAAACTAGGGTCGCTATGCGGGACCGCCCGAACCCCGCTAGATGAGGCCGGCGTGGGGCCGTGTCCGGATGCAACGTCTGATAAGAATAGCCGTTTTTTCTGCTCCGAGAATATGGAGTCCTCATTAGATGCCTGTGGGGAGCTTTCGACTCCCTCTCGGCCCTGAGTTACCTGGGAAAGACCATGCAGTAGGGAAATCAGAGAGAGATTGCATTTGCTGAAAATGCCCAATCATCTTTCTGGAACAGGAATACGGCGGTTGGTACAGCGTTGCAGACTGTTGGTTGGTAGCAGGGGGTAGGCAGCAGGCGACAGCCTACAGGGTACTAAAGGTAACTTCTGGGCCCCAACGATCTCAACCAACAAGTTGGGACATAAGACATAACGGTGCCTTGTCTTTGGGCGTCACGTTCGACAATTCGCGGCCTGGTACGAAATAGAATGGCCTACATTGGGGGCCGCACCGTGATTGCCTTGGTCCACTTCTCTATGCCATCCATCAATGTCACTGCAGGTGAATCGTAGGCCCGTTTCTACCCAGGCTGACGGATGCCGCAGCCAACAGTCTGTTTACTTATGTACAACCCCCATTTTCATTGTTGCTAGGTATGCCCCGTTCGTCCTCCCGTAATCCTAGAGGTATTGGATAGCACTAAGCCCAACTTCTGTCACCATTACTCCGATCTCCACGATTTGTGACCCCTAGCCCATCCCCAAACGCAACACTTTGAAATTTGATGTAGTTGCCATCTGGTTCGATTTTTCCCATCATCTCTCTCAAAAGGCAGGTAGTCAGTCACTGCTGCCTTCCTTCCTCTTTCCGCCTGCCT